TGGATGGCCGGGATTGCTCGCCGTTCGAACCGTGAGGCTCGTTGTCCGCGGCGGATGTGTAAATCTCGAAAATTCGGATGAAACCGTCCTTGCAACCACTAGCGATAAGATCATAGCCACGAACAGAGCCATTGGCCCAAGAAATATCTCTCACAAGGCCTCCATGGCTCGACAGCTCAATTGCGTGATAGAAACGTCGGCTGGCATCGGTGCGATATACTTTCACACTGTCCATAGCTGCCACTACTAGTGAGAGGCTTTTACGATCCGAAGATGGCAAAACTGAGTGGGTGATATCTGTGGGGTCGTGGTGAAATTGCACCTTAAAACTTGTTTCCTCGCCCCTTTGGGGTGCAGTGCAAACACGAAATTGATCAAGAGGCTGCCAGTCCGCGAGTGTATCTGGACTTACGGGTTCCATGACCATCAGAAATCCATCTCGTGTGATGACAGCAAGCCACGACTCGAGGTCAATATTGCGGAAGTCAATTGAGACGAATGGGTGCCGGTGTGGTGCCGTCATGCGAAATATAGACCGGAAGCGTCGGCCAGAGTTAAGAGGTTGGGTGACATCTTCTTGCCATATCTTGCATTTCATGTCTTCACCAACACTACCTATATGTTGGCCCGTAAACGGACCATTCCAGCTTGCCTAGGAAACCAGTTAGTGTGCATTTGACACAATACGGACTACAGAGTGAATTGAATACGAGGGAGCGTGGTCTTGCTTACATCGCGGATCTCAGCATCATGTGCACGCCAGGTGTCAATTAATTGCCATTCACTGTCTTTCTGATCCCATACTTTCATACGATGATCGGAAGAGGCCGTAACAATGCGATTACCATAGAAATTGAATTTGGTGACAGTTACCAAGTCACGATGACCAGCGTCGAAATCAGCGAATCCAGACATCCCGGGCCAGGTTCAAGATCACCAATCAGAACTTCAGCGCCGGCCACCACACTGATGGCAATATACGCGCGTAATTAAGGGCCGATGGTTGCGTATGTGCCAAAAGAATGACGACGCTTTCACCCATGTATGGGACCAGACAAGCCGTGCATGTGAAGCAGCAAGCGGGTCAATAATGGAGCATTACGTAAGCCGCACGACCCTCTATCTTTTACAGGCAAAGTTTGATGATCTTTGACAGCTTCTGACCTACCGCCCGAGGTAAGCGGTCAACATTTATCTGGCAGAATGATGCTCATTATCGCCTTGAAGCCAGATTGCTTCCATTGATCTTCTATACAGGATCTACAAGTGGTTCTCTCTATTGATCTTTAGACACTGTCTCAGTATAGAGGAAGGCTTACACGACTAGGGGAGCAATGCTGCAATTCTGTCATTCATAATGAATTCGAGCTCTCTTTCTCGCCAGGAGACCTGGCGTCTCTTGATGCTAGTGGGCATTTGCGCCAGCATCCTTCTCAACACTTTCCAGGATGAAGGTGCACCTTTGGTAGCATCCATTGCTTTTAGTGGGATTGTTTTTGCAGTCGCATACAGCCTGATCAGATGGCTGGGACCGGTTTTCATGAAGGCAGGGTTGAAGGGGAGAGATATGGCGAAACCAAAGAGACCTGAAATGTATGTATTAACTTGGCAATTGTTGCTGTAATGAACTGCGAAGCGCGATCACTAGATGATTCTGGAACTAACTGTCTCCTGTGCTAGCCCAGAGACAATGGGCGCAGTATGCGCAGTTGTGTATCTTCTGGCGCTTATCTTCTTTATTCCCTTTGCTTTTTACAAAGACATTGTGGCAGCCACTTCTGGTGGAGGTAACCGAGATGTCGTTCTTGAAGTTCATCACGTTGAAACTGGTCGGATGCTCCACCGATTTCCTCACGGAAGGGTCTGTGATTCTCCAACTGCTTTCTTTTTAAAAAAGGTTATTGACAAAGCTTGTAGCTTGCATCTTACCTCTCTGGACTCCTTTCTCTGCAATGTATTGTCATATTGGGATTGGGTGATGACCTTCTTGACATTCGATGGAGACATAAAGTTCTCATACCTGCTTTCGGAGCAATTCCAATGCTCATAGTTTACTTTGTGGACTTTGGTGTCACACAGGTTGTCGTTCCGGTTCCCTTGCAGCCCTACTTAGGCTCATTCGTCGACCTCGGATGGCTATATTACGTATACATGGCTGCGGTGGCTATTTTCTGCCCCAACTCCATCAACATGTTGGCAGGGATCAATGGAGTTGAGGTAGCTCAATCTCTGGTGATCGCAATCTTGCTCATAGCAAATGATACGCTGTATCTTGTGCCCATCACGCCATATCCCCACCCCGCCACTGATTCACATCTCTTCTCCCTTTATTTCTTGCTTCCATTTGTTGGAGTGTCACTGGCCCTGTTGTTGCACAACTGGTACCCCTCCAAAGTGTTTGTCGGGGATACCTACTGCTATTTCGCGGGGATGGTATTTGCTGTCGTTGGTATTCTGGGGCATTTCAGTAAGACGTTACTTCTGCTTTTTATACCGCAGATATTCAATTTCCTGTACTCGACCCCGCAACTTTTCAAGTTGATTCCTTGTCCTCGGCACAGATTACCTAAGTTCAATGCTTTAACTGGACAGCTTGACGCTTCTGTAACGGAGTGGACAGTACCACCTTCGCCACTAATCGCCGTTGGCCTGGAGCTTCTTCATCAGCTGCGACTGGTGCGTGTTACAAAGAATGACCAGGGTCAAATTGTGGAGTCGACTAATTTGACGATACTCAACCTGTGGCTGGTGTGGATGGGGCCCATGAAAGAGAACCGGCTGGCATGGAATATGGTCGCAGTTCAAGTCGTTTGTGGACTTTTCGGTCTATTTGTGCGACATCGCCTGGCACTGCTCGTATTTCGGGAAGATAACCGAGCATTTTGGCCTCAATTATAGATTTAAAGATCAATAGAAACTAACCAAAACGGTTTTGTTTGATATACAGGCGTTATACCAGAATTTTATCAGAAGTCCTGCACGTAGACTAATTAGGAATGGCATATGCAGGCTTCCAGGAAACCAATGTAAAGTAGGCAGAATAAGACTTCTTCTACAGACTTGGAACAAAGCAAAAGCCCGAACCATCAATATAGAATAGAACCGAGAGTAGACCCATTACCAATCGTCAATGAATCTAAAGGTAAGGCCCTTAACGATACGTCCATTATCCTTCATAAGAAATTCACACCTCACGACCTCATGCTGGTCAGTCTCATAGTAACAGAGTTGTTCCTCCCCCAAAGAGCGGACTTTGCATGCCTTTACTATGGATGAGGAGGGGCCGCCTATAAGAGCTTTATGTTTTCCGCCCTCTTATTTCTACTACCGTTGATCCTGATCGGTTAGAGAACCGGTAGTTCGGAGAGAGAAATCATCTATATAAGGATTACAGGATGGGTAAATATCTTATAGAAGAAATACTAAACAGAGTACTAATTTGAATAGAAAAGAATATACTATCTGTACTATAAGGTTCAACATTTGGGAAGCGTGGGATTAAAATCGGAGTCAAGGTATAGTATTATACTGTAGTTAGAGGGGCTATTATACCATATCAGCTCAAACGAAGATGAGTGTAAACTTAGGCAACACTGAGAAGTTTTGTCAATCTTGTAGTATCCTTAGAAAAAGGTAGGAGGCGGCCTTACTGAGTTAGCCATCGCCCTTTTTCTTCTCCTTCCTTGTTTTTCTTTTTTTGTTTTTCCAGAAGCGATGATTCCGATAATCCCACAGTCTCTTGTATTTTTGGTTGAGTAAGTAGTGGTCTACTAAGCTTGACAAGGTAAGTTGCTATGTAGTCATGCTTCTGTGCCTTAAGTTGAATGGTTGGTCTGTCACTGACTGCCTATCAGGCCAGTTTCAAGCGTGTGGTTCTCGCTCTTAGCCATGATGACTGTATCCTCAAGTTCAGCAAAATGATCCATTTAAAAATGTAAGGTCACTAGGAAACGCCACGGTGCTCTTTAATGTAGTAAAGATCAGTGCCCAACGATGCAACGTAGAGGATCATGTTGAAAATAGGAAGGGTTTTGGGGATATTAACATCTGCGTAAGTGTAATAACTACATGGGTCATAATACGGACAGTCACGGATGACGATGGCTTTTGATGAAATCGCAACCTGAGCATAAAATGTCTATTACTGTCACATGGCGCTCATCATAGGTCTAATAAAGACAGGAGGAAATAACAAGGGAAGAAAAAGAAGACAGAACTGTAGTTGTAATACAAAAAGAAAATAGATTAAGGAGGGAGGGTTATTCTTCCGGGCCAGGGCGTGCACCAGACAATTGCCCCTGGTATCCATATAATTAGTCATCTAACTTCTTCGATGTATTTAGTAACAACCAGTATTTCGTTCACCATAGCCATGTAGTTGGTTCCGTATATTGGGATTTAAAAGAGTAGGATTACTACATTTCCCCCGTAAATAACTGGAAGGGACCCCGGGCAGGTGAGATGCGGTTTCTATACCTCTAAACGGTGCTGAGCCAACGCCTCCTCACCGCTTGAGTTAGGTAAGTTCAGTGTTACTAGAGGAATATATTTCACTATTCTCCGCATCCCATTAAGATCTTGGGTGGGAGAGCTTCCCTCTAGAGCACCATGTTAGTGATCCTCTGCTGTCCTGTGAGTATATTGTACCCATTCAATGCCTGATTGCCAATTGAGATCCAAGTACCACCAGATTGTGTATTCAGCTATTTCCAAAAAAATCCTGCTTCCATGATAATAAAACTGGAACAAATCGCTCGGTATTGCGACAAAGCTTTTGTAACTCCGAGTCTACTAATGTCCAAAACATGACGCACAACGGTCTACGGTCATCTTATGCCCGGAGATAAACGGGCCATTTTTAGGGAACACTATTCAGCCCCACCGGTCCCCGGAGTTAAGGCACATTTAGTCCATACTAACTTACCCCTGCCGCCGATCCTGATTATTCAACCTGTCATCCATCGGCATTAGCGTTTCTTCACCCCATGGAAAGTTCAACTCATACACCTGCTTGGTTGCGGTTATGATGTAGCTTTATTCATAACTCCGTCGGCTCATTCTGCCGCGTGTGCCCAACATGGAAGTTATAAATACCGGCCACAGCCAGCACTGAGGTGTATGGTTCTTAGGTACACTACTGAATACCAATTCCTCATTCAAAGCTTTATTCTGTAAAGTTCAACAGTATATATTTTTCAACATGTCCGATATCTTCGCGCCCGCCCCAGAGCCCTCCACTGAGCTGGGTCGCTACCGCATCCTCTCTTCGACCGCCGGCATCCGCGTGTCGCCACTGCAACTGGGTGCTATGTCTATTGGGGATTCATGGTCTCACTTTATGGGATCCATGGACAAGGAGTCTTCATTCAGATTGCTGGATGCCTTTGTCGAAGCCGGAGGCAATTTTATCGACACTGCCAACAACTACCAATACGAGCAATCAGAGGCCTGGATAGGCGAATGGATGACTTCCCGGAAAAACCGTGATCAACTTGTCATTGCAACCAAGTTTACTACGGACTACAAGTCGTATGCACTTGGAAAGGGGACCGCACCGAACCACTGCGGTAACCACCGCCGCAGTCTCCATATGAGCGTGCGCGACTCCCTGCGTAAGCTCCAAACAGACTGGATCGATATTCTGTACCTTCACTGGTGGGATCATACCACCTCTATCGAGGAAATCATGGACAGCCTCCACATTTTGGTGGAACAGGGCAAAGTGCTCTACCTAGGAATCTCGGATTCCCCTGCGTGGGTTGTGAGTGCCGCCAACACCTACGCTCGGGCTCATGGTAAAACCCCCTTCAGTGTCTACCAGGGCCGGTGGAATGTGATGCTTCGTGATTTCGAACGTGAGATAATTCCTATGGCACGCCATTTTGGGATGGCCCTGGCACCTTGGGATGTCCTCGGCGGCGGCAAGTTCCAGACCAAGAAGGCATTGGAGGAGCGGAAGAAGAAGAATGAAGGATTGCGAAGCCTTACTGGCGCAGGCGAGCAGACTGATGAGGAAGTTAAAATGAGTGAAGCACTGGCAAAGGTTGCATCGGAGCATGGCATTGAGTCTGTAACGGCTGTTGCTCTGGCCTATGTCATGCACAAGACACCTAATGTCTTCCCGCTGGTTGGCGGCAGAAAGGTGGAACACTTACACGACAATATCCAGGCTTTGAAGATTAAGTTGACACCGGAGCAAATCGAATACCTCGAGAGTGTCAGGCCACTGGACGTCGGATTCCCCAACAACTTCATTGGACCCGACCCGAAGGTGACGGGCCGAGCGTCTGGATTGCTGGCAGCCAATGCACAGCTAGCCTTTGTGCCGGCATCTAAGCCTATCACTCCACCATGACGAGTTTCGTCGTGATTTGTACGGCGCCAGGGGTTTTGTTTTACTGAGATTTTGATTTTGTACCAGCCATGTTAAACTCTGCAACTAAGAAGAATTCATTACGTCACAGCACGCTCCAAGCTTTGAGATTCGACTTCCATACGGAGTATTCTAGAGTAAATATTCTTTACTTTATGGCGAGACATATGACATAAACCCTTAGTGTAGGGAGATATGGTGTTGAGTACTCGTCTACTCTGTACTCGGCTCTGGCCATGTGACCCGACGAGTAATAAGTACATATTACTACTAGTAGTAGAGATCGGACCATAAAGAGCTTTCTCACACTAGTGACGCAGTGTAACGGGATGGCCAATCTAGCGGGATTCTTGTCTCAAAATCAAGCAATCACATCCACAACGTTAGTCAGGACCCGTGATCACCGCCGCGGCTAAGCGCGCAACCACCGGTGTCGGGGCCCTGGGAACTGTGGGGCGTCAAAATCGTCCAATTGCCACCCGGATATTGGCCGCTGACCAGCCGAGATCGGGGATGCCCCTCGATGGTCGCGCTGCGACATCGCGGTCTTAAGAGGGTTAAAATGTTCCCCAAGGTATCTCTGTACTTGCCCAGATTCCCCAGATATACTCTCTTCAGAACCGTTGGTGAAGACACAAACAGATTGAGTCTGTGTCTAATCTGATTGTTTGTTTCTACCGATAACTCCCTCCTTTTCCTCTTTGATATCCGTCCCCTCTGCCCCTCATGCCTGCTGCCGATAAGAAACCCAGGACCTTGTACGACAAGGTCTTGGATGCGCACATTGTTAATGAGCAAGAAGATGGCACACTCTTGCTGTATATCGGTATGCTCGAGCCCTACGTTCTGCCTTTATCTCCAATTCATGATAGCTAACATTGTTCTGCAGATAGACATCTTGTCCACGAAGTGACTTCACCAGTAAGTAGTGCCACGCCACACGATTCGAGTCATCCAATTCATCGACTTGTTCCGGATAATACTCTCGCAAAGATCTAACATTCCATAGCAAGCCTTTGAGGGCCTCAAGAATGCTGGTCGGAAAGTCCGCCGGCCGGACTGCACTCTTGTCACAGTTGATCACGTACGTCAACAGTTTCTTTTTTTTATCTTTTCCCGTTCCCATGATATGGAAGCTAACTTATGAGCAGAACATCCCAACATCCACTCGCAAAAACTTCAAGAACGTCGAAGAATTTATCGAAGAGACCGACTCGCGTTTACAATGTACCACACTGGAAGAGAATGTAAAGGACTTCGGGCTTACATATTTCGGCATGGGAGATAAGCGCCAGGGTATTGTTCATATCATTGGCCCAGAGCAGGGTTTTACTCTTCCTGGAACGACGGTCGTTTGTGGTGACAGCCATACCTCGACACACGGTGCCTTTGGTGCCCTCGCTTTCGGTATCGGTACAAGTGAAGTCGAGCACGTCCTCGCCACCCAGACTCTTATCTCTCGCAGAAGCAAGAACATGCGTATCCAAGTCGACGGGGAGCTCCCCGCAGGTGTCACCAGTAAGGATGTTGTCCTTCACATCATTGGTGTTATCGGAACTGCTGGAGGTACTGGTGCCGTTATCGAATTCTGCGGCTCTGTTATTCGCGGCTTGAGCATGGAGGCTCGTATGTCGATGTGTAACATGTCTATTGAGGCTGGTGCTCGTGCTGGCATGATCGCACCCGACCAGATCACGTTCGATTACCTCAAGGGTCGTCCCCTCGCCCCGAAGTACGACAGTGCTGAGTGGAAGAAAGCTGTCAGCTACTGGTCCAGCCTGGCCTCTGATGAAGGCGCCGTCTACGACAAGACAATCGTGCTTGATGGCAAGGACATCATCCCAACTGTCTCTTGGGGTACTTCTCCTCAGGATGTTATTCCTATCAATGGTGTTGTTCCAGGACCCGATGACTTTGAGGATGAGAACCGCAAACTTGCCTGCAAGCGCGCACTTGAGTACATGGGTCTCGTGGCTGGTACTCCTATGAAGGAGGTCCAGATTGACAAGGTCTTCATCGGCTCTTGCACGAACGCCCGTATTGAGGATCTGCGGGCAGCTGCCAAGGTCGTTAGGGGTAAGAAGATCGCCCCTAACGTCAAGCGCGCGATGGTCGTGCCTGGTTCAGGTCTTGTGAAGCAACAGGCTGAAGCCGAAGGTCTCGACAAGATCTTCACCGATGCTGGCTTTGAGTGGAGAGAGGCTGGTTGCTCCATGTGCCTGGGTATGAACCCCGATATTCTCTCGCCCAAGGAGCGTTGTGCTAGTACTTCGAACCGTAACTTCGAAGGTCGCCAGGGTGCTCAGGGTCGTACTCACCTGATGTCCCCGGCCATGGCTGCGGCAGCTGGTATCGTCGGAAAGCTTGCGGATGTCCGTGAGCATGTTGTCACTAGCCCCGTTTTGGGCAAGGTGCAACCCAGGGTTGATGTCCAGCCGGAGGCCGAAGATGTCGACACTGAGGAGGAATTCGACCGCATCTTGGACCAGCCCGCAGACAACGAACCCCACACCAACACCTCTAGTGGCTCCAGCGCTGGCCTGCCCAAATTCACCACCCTTAAGGGCATTGCCGCCCCCATGAACCGCTCCAACGTCGACACTGACGCTATCATTCCCAAGCAGTTCCTGAAGACCATCAAGCGTACCGGTCTTGGCAGCGCGCTCTTCTACGAGCTGCGCTACAAGGATGGTCAGGAAGACCCCGAGTTCATCCTAAACCAGGGTGTCTACCGCAACTCCAAGATCCTGGTTGTCACCGGTCCCAACTTCGGCTGCGGTAGCTCTCGTGAACACGCACCCTGGGCCCTCCTTGACTTCGGCATCAAGTGTGTCATCGCTCCCTCCTTCGCTGACATCTTCTTCAACAACACCTTCAAGAACGGCATGCTCCCCATCCCGATCTCCGATGAAGCCGCTTTGCAGAAGATAGCGGCTGAGGCCAGCGCAGGCCGCGAGATCGAAGTCGACCTCGTTAAACAGGAAATCAAGGATGCCCAAGGCAACAAGCTTTCCGGATTCGATGTTGACGCTTTCCGCAAGCACTGCCTGGTCAACGGCCTGGACGACATCGGCCTCACTCTCCAGATGGAAGACAAGATTCGCACATTCGAGACCAAGCGTACTCTCGAAACCCCCTGGCTCGATGGAAGTGGCTACCTGAAGCGTGGCAACCGTGGCGCTACCATGGTTCAGGCTGCCCCTGTCCCTAAGACTAACCAGGGCGATGTCAAGACCGAGCCTTTGGAATGGTAAACAAAAAGTTCTAGTGTCGTTAGATATTCTCTCTGTTTTCATTTCGGGTACGATACGACGTTTATGCAGCTATACTCTCTTGATTTTTGGTAATAGGTTATACTGGCGAAGGAATTATTACAACCACATTTAGGAAAGGTCTCGGGCTAAGAATGATTATTTATACCTGAACAGCTAGATAACTAAAGAAGCCTAGCTTTCACAACGAATACAATTACTACTTAATAAGTGTATCTGCAGTCCCTTGTCCAGAATTATTATTAAGAATCCATCCACTTCACATACTTTACCAACATAACACGCAATCAAAAACCCCCAAGGGCCAATTCGAAATAGTTAAAAAAAATGCAAACAGCCAAAACAACCAAAACTGAAAACCAAACAACAGCATATGGATATAAAGAGTGACAGAACAAACCTCAATGAACAAGCGCAACATCAGAGCGAAAACAAAAACAAAACTTCAAACCATCCATGCATATGTATAAGGAACGTAACGACATCCGATTCATCATCAGTAAATAACCCATTAAAGCATCATATGTGCAGCGAGATCGTTCCTCCACCCCTCCACCGACGATGCGGGAGGGAGGTATATAGAGTGAGAGTAATAAAAAGAAAAGAAACATAAATACCTCCACATCGGACATCAGACATAAAACGTTAATGTACAAGAAAAATCCCGGTTGCTTTTTCTGTGTTCCTCCTCTTGCTTCTATTGAGTCCCCCGCTTTTTGGCGCCTTGAGAATGAGGTTTTTTTCTTTCTTTTTTTCTTTTTCTTTTCTGGGAGAGTCTATTGATTGGTTTGGAGCCCATGCCATGCCATGGCTTTAATGCGTGTATATGTCAGCTGCATTTTATATTGTTGTATACGGAGAGTTGGGGGGTAGTTGAATGTCAGGCGCAAAGCAGATTAGTATTGACTTAGGGCTTGGTGAGTTGCTCTTTACGGAAGAACAGGAGGAATCCGGCGCTAGGGTCTTGTTAGTATTTTGCTTCTTGTGGAATGGATTGTGGAGGTATTGATGACTTACCAGATCAGCAGCTGGAAGAATAGGGCGATCCAGAACCAAGCGTTTGCGACGGAACTGCCCCCGGCAGTAACATCCGGCGAGATTGGCCCAGGACCGATGTTGTTTGGAGCACATGCTCTGGCAACGATTGTTGCGATAGAACCCAGCACTTGAGATGCAAGCAGGGTGAAGGCGATGTGTACTCGTGTGAGAGTCTGAAGAAGAATCATACCGAAGCCGAGACCCTGTAGGGCATCAAGGATACCGAGCCAGAGCCATAGACTTCGTGATGCGAGTGCTCCGCTAACAGAGCTGCCAGCCCAGGGAAGGAAGAGACCCATTCCGGAGACACCCCACCATATCTGGGCCCAACGTGGAGCCCCCAGGCCGCATGCGAATACAGGTAGAATCCAGCTATGGCGCTTGGAGAGGTACCCAAACAGGGTTAACACTGCTACCCAGATGACACCGAAGAAGACGATGACGAGGATGCCGACTTGCCAGGCTTCGGCATGATTTGAGCTCCAAAGGACTGTATGGGGCACGATAAGTTAGTGGTTTCTCGGGGAGTATAGGGCTGGTGTACTTACAGGCCCAGTTCCGCCCATAAGGTGCGCTGAGGAAGAAGTTTTGCAAAATGACTACCACGAAGTTCCACAGAACGATCTTGCGTCGGAAGACAGACTTGTAGAATGATGGGACTTTTCCAGGTGACTGGCGGTAGTAATTTGGCAGGCCGAAGAAG